AGGAAACTAATAAGAGAATAAAATTTGGAAAATATCAACATATGAAATACTAAGAAATAGATTTAGGTCATAAACTATAATAAAATTATTTGTATAAGGAAAATATTATTATTAACAAAATTATAACCCTGCATTGACGCTAATACTACATCGTGAAGCACTGAAGATGTCATTTACTAAGTAAGGCGAAACGTCTGCAATCGTAATTGGACCACGGCAGAAAAGCCTAGACGCTCTTCATCATCATTGTTAAATTTATTAGCAAAAGGTCAACATTTCGGATTGTCAGAAATTAAAAATTCAATAAAACGGTCCGATTAATATCACAGAAAAGTCATAGATTAAGTTAAATTTCCAGTTACAATTTAAATTACGAATCGTAATATCACACAAACATGTTAAAACTTCTATTAAAATCAATTGAAAATTAAAATCAATAAATGTGATAAAATAAACTAAATGATTGATTTTAATAGAAGTGTAAATTAAACTGTGATTGAAAACTTAACTTAATCTGTGTTCCTTTCTGTGATATTACAGATGGTCTCACACAAATGGGACCGAGTGTCGACTGTGCTATGTTTGTGTGCAGGCAGTGTCAAGACTGCTGAATGCACGCCAATTCACATAATATGTAGGACTGGGCGATGACTGTGTCGGGGTTGTTTTTCAATATCTTATAAGTTATTAAATTTTGTTAATAATTTGCCTTAGTTTCGAAATTAATGTGGTTATGTTTTATTGGGTAGTTCTGTTGAAAATCTGTTAATAATGTTGGTGTGCAATGAAATTCGCAAAAAAAAACAATAGAAAACTAGGAAATCTTGGGTACATTGTAAATATAGGACAAGGGAAGAAGAAGACAAATTCCATACCCCTTTTTGGGATATTAGTCGATAATAACTTCAAATTTAAATAGTTTCAATGCGGTTATTTTATTTATGTGAACTCGAATAATAAACAAATTAATATACCTACTGAATCTATTTCCATCCACTACACTAAGCGAGAGTACTGTATTTTCGCGTGCATAGGTAGCACGCGTGTATAAGCTGCATCTAAATTAGTGATAAGCAAAATTGGTCTCAGTCTAGCAGTCTAGGTCTTACGAAAAGGCAAGACCAAGACTGTCTTTATACTAGCAAGACCAACATCAAAACCGAACGACTGTGACAGTATTGGTCTTCCTTGTTCATCACTAATCTAAATTTTGCAGGAATATTTGTGTAGATTTTTTTCTAAAATCTCTTGTAGATCAATCCTAACACCGAGCTGCCCCAGTCCCTTAAGTGTAAATTGAAAACGGTCGTATCGTCTTTCACAAGTGGAACAACCATTGTTTTGACCCAAACTAAATCGACACAGCCGTCAACCGGTTCTGTATATGAGAATCCGTCTTGATTCCACCGTTTTATTTTTTTAGTTTTTAATTTCTGATTGGACACCCTGTTGGATAATTTAGATAAATTTTATTTTATTGTTATAAATGTTAACTGCCAGGAGTTATATTGATTTTCACATTACATAATTGAAATCAAGTAACCTTGATAAAATTTCCAATCCAAACGTTGTCCTTTTACTAATAAATACAAGAGTATTGACCAGAAGAAAGTTCAGTTCATACATTCACTTTAGTTTTTGGTAGCATAAAAATTAAGTTAAAGATAATTTGCACAAAACATTCTACTTACAACAACAACCATCAACAAAATCGGCCTATGTTCCCCTATTTTCTTATTCCGTCACTGGCTCTTTATATATATGTATACGTTTATATATTTTATAGTCAAAGGTCGATACGTAGTCCCTCTAGTGAATGACATGGCTAGGCTTGAAGGTAAACCCCGAAAACCTGAAAACTAGCATATATCCAACCCTAACTTTACTTAACTTAATTTAACATATGTTTCGGCGTTTTGATTGTGCGCATTAGTCTCCCCTAGGATTAAACAAAAAAAACGTTAGGTACAGTCGATACAGTCAATTAGTTTGGGCTTTGACTAAAAATAAGTGTTCTTGTCAGACCTAATAATTGAGTAGCCAAACTTAGCAGCTACGGAGTTTCTATATTTTCTTGATGTGCAGAAAAAAAAAATACGTCAAAATAGTCCATCCTGGTAGAGTCTAAACAGGGATATTTTGAATAAAATTATTGAGTAAAGAAACATCACAAGAGAACAAAGAAATTCGAAGTTAGATCTCATTAGCGTGTCGCACACAGTTTCGACAGAACACAGACCAACTTTACCTGCCCCCTTAACACAGCACGTTTTATGAAATTCTACAAATGGCGCGGTAAACGCCATCTGCAGTACAATTCTACATTTGGTGGAATTCAATATGCTCAACAAGGTCCATTTAATTAGATGGATATCTACAGGTTGAACTGAATCCAGGCGTAGCTCATCACCACGTGATAGGCACGTTACCATAATCGAACAAAGAAATTCGAAGTGGTCAGTATTCTGTCGAAACTGTCTGCGACGCGGTGATGAGATCCAACAAGATCGAAATCGTGATCCGCGTCAGGATATGCTGTGTTAAGGCAGCAGGTAAAGTCGAAACTGTCTGCGAATTTCAAATTTGTACCAAAAACGATATTTGATTGATGATTTTTGAAATAATGGATCTTCGTATTAGAGAAGTTATTTTTCTCTAGCTTTTACGTACTTAGGTAGTTTACTGATTTTGCCTAAGTATTTTGGACATTTTGGAAAAAATAACGAAAGCTCAAGGAATTTCTTAAGTACAATGTGCAATACATATGTATATAAATAACAATAAAATAATAAGCATTTTTATTTTAAGCTTCTTCATATTTTTATTATGTGATGTAATATCCACAAGGAAACCTCAAGAATCCTATTTTTTTAGGTCTGGGTACATACGCCACCTCTAATTTTCCATCCTTATGTAATAAACTAAACAAGCTGACATTAGCAACATTTGACGAAGATGGACACCTTATAGGACAAATGGGATCGTGGTCATTTAGTTATTAATAGACTTTATTTAACTCAATATTGACATTGCATATATGTAATTTAGTAATTAAAACGTTTCAACGTGAATTATATAAAATTATGTTCGTAAAATAGCTAGTGCTGGGTGCAAATCCAGATAGCTAGCTAATGCTTCATATCTGAAACAAAAAATTATAATTATGCAATGGATTTAAAACCGAAAACCTGCCGTATATAGGACATTATCACATGTATGTAGGCAACCCAACATATTTAGTGGCAAAGAAGACCAAGTTTCTAGACGGCATATACTGGATCATTCTAAAACACAGCTATTCTCTACAAATAGTTGTCGCGAGATCGAGAGTTAGTAGTACGAGAACGAATTTTAGTTACGAGGCGATACAAAACGAAATAAGAAGAAGCGTGTGATATAATAGTGAAATTAGATAATAATAATGGTGTTAATTAGAAATTAAATAATTAAATAAATTAATCAGTAGTCAGAAAGGTGTTTGATAATATAATGTAAAATGTATGTCTTAAGTTTTCATATCGTATTGTCAAATAAATCCCACTATACTTTTTATTTTTTTCTTTAATGAAAATTAACTTTTGAAATTTAAAATTCCAGTATCAGTTCAAGACGTAACGCAAACGTTTCTGCAAATTTTCTTTTAGAGTTTTTGTGAATATTATAGTATCAATCCCCAAAGATAATGCTTCAACCAAACGTATCTACGATTAAATACACAAAAACAATACAACGTTCAATTATACCGAGTAGGGGGAGACATCCGTTGCATGATTTCGTTACACAGCAACTCGCATGAAACGAACTTGCCCTACCGTGCGTAAAGAAGTTTCACTTCAAAAAATATTTTTAAGAAGGTAAAAGATAAACTCACACACTCACTCAGATTTGACTATCTAGAATTGTAATTTTTTATTTAGAATGAAAGCTAAAGTAATATTAGTAAGACCACTGTGTGGCAACAAATGGCAGTGAGTTTGTAGGTACTTACCGATATGGAGAAAGTTCTTTATAGCGTTGTAATCGAATTTCTAAACATCGTGCATAGAAGAAAAGATCGTTTAAAGCAGAATAAAAATCCTCCTCTTCGGTGAGCGAAAATGTATCTTGAATAGCAGCGAACCGTTTTTGCTTTTCTTCAATTTCACTTTTTGTCTGCGGAATGAAGTACAATTAATTTAAAATAATCCTAAAGGCATGGTATCGGAGAAATTTTTATTTCCTACAGAGAGTAGGTATTCTGTAAGATAAGAAATCGTGTTTAAATGTTTTATTATAGTATTATGAAGCTGACACAACAGCGCTGAAATGAATTAAAGAAATCCCAAAATTGGGGAATTTTTAGGGACTACCTAATTTGGTCTTAAATTCAGAAATTAGGGGTTTATAAACTGCTAAACAAATTTGGTATTTAATGTTGTTTTAAGTTCACGCTAAGAGAAGAAGTGTTTAGAGAATTTTTATGTCATAGGTAGAGTAATTTGTGATTCATATACCATAGTGCAGGGATGGCGAACCAATGGTACGCGTGCCATTAGTGGCACGGGACACAATATTTTGGGCACGTCACTAATGTTTCTGTCATTGATTCTTTAATCAAGGAATTTTCAGCAAGATTTTCTCACTTCAGAGAATTATCGGAAATACTAATACGAAAGTTTATTATGTACCCTGATGTGACATTTGATAAAATAAATTGAAGAATCTGAAATGCAGCTGATTGATTTCCAGTCTAGTTCAATATGATTCAAAAAGTTGTTGGAACAAGGAAAGAGTTAGAAATAATTGAAACAGAAAGATCGACGGGTAATACAAGTGAAAATGCTAATAACAAAATTTTGGAAACATGGAATGCGATAACAAACACATTTAATTTTTTGAAAAAGCTGGCATATGATATTTTAATAATGTTTTCATCAACCTATGCCTGCGAGTCATTATTTTCAGAGATTAATAACATCAAAAACTCGCAGTTACAAACCGTTTGGTAGATGACTCCAGTTCAGCATGCATTCTGCTAAAATTAACATCTTACAACCCTAACATAAGTTATTTGTCATCTAATCTGCAAAAACAGAAGTCACACTAATTTTACTTTAATTTAAATTACACGTATAATTTAAACATTGCAAAATGTTCCTATTTTCTTGTAGAATTTTGAGTTGATATTATTTATTATCTTTATTTTCCCAATAATCACACAGACAAAATTATTTGATGGCACGTCTATGACCTGATTAAACTTAAAGGTTCGCCATCCCTGCCATAGTGCATATGCACTGCTAACTTAATTCAACCCTAAATAAAATTACAAAGTTTATTATTTATTTTGATGGTGTCCATAAACCCAAGATTTCAATAGATGGGCCAACTGAAATTGAAAAGATTTTACTTCTAATTTAAGTGACCTGCAGTGAAAAGGACGTACTCAGCGCTAAAACAGCAATTGAAAAAGGGATGTCAAAAAGGAAAACAGCGAGAACAAATAACATTCCGTTTACCACATTGAAAGATATAGGTAGTTAAAAGTGAAAATATGCGTCGTCCACAACTAGGTGTTAACCATTTCTCAATCAGTAGCAAGGATGAGATACATCTGAACAAGTTAAAGCTTTTGGGATGGCTACAGTATGGGCTGACTAGAGCAGATTTGCGCAAGATTGTTTACAAAGACGCTGAGCGTCATTAGCCTTTTGCTTGAGCGGCATTACTCAAGATCAGGGGTAATAGCGTTCAAATCTGCCCTTTTTTATATATTTTATTACTAATTATATTATTAATAA